GCCCTAAGCCAAGCAAGCTCGCAGGGACACGGTTTAGGGTTTAGGGTTTAGGGATCGGTAACCTTAGCATTTACCTAGAGGCTCCACAGTACTTCCTCTTTGTGGATCATAGTTAGAACCATATAAGGTAATCCCAAAACAAGGAACTACTATGGAGGCTGCGGGTCTACACCCCGTAAAGGAACCCTTGGTACACGTAGACCCACCTCGAAAAAATACGCGATGTGGGTTTCCGGCTTAGGACTCCCCGATCTTACCAAACAGGGGGGCATAATCAATAGAATAGGGTTTTGGGGCCCATCATGCAAAATTCGAGCAAGGAACCCCCAAAAATAGTATAGCTAATTATTAAGGCCCCTGTGTTCAGGCTCCTAAGCGGTCTTGGGCTTTCTGGGGGAGGGCTTCCGTTTAGGGGGGCTATGGTTCGGTACGTTCGGGATCTCCCAACAAGGGGCCCATTAGCTGCAGGGTAGAGTTTAGGGTTTAGGGCTTAGGGTTTAGGGTTTAGGGCTTCGGGGAAGTAGAGACCTTACTGGTTACAACGGAGTTTCGAGGTATATCTTATACTGATAACTTTTTGGTGGGATTGTCAGGCAACAGCATTTCCAAGTACCCCGACCCCCTACAGTACCCTTACCCCCTTACCCGAAATCTGCAAAAGCATGGTGCCCTCGGAAGTTCTAACGAAAATGCCTGAGTGCTGCAAGCTGGGACCCCCAGAAGGCTTCATGTCACCGTGTGTACTGTTGAGAAAAGGGCCCTTTTAATGAAAGCTACGCTTTAATGAAAGCTACAAAGAAGGGTGGGTTCCAAACAGAAATTAACCTATACTGAACTTAGAACCCTGGCAAAAACTATAGTTTTACCTGTTTCTTAGGGATTATAATAACACAAAATTAACAATCAGTGTTAAGTACCCCTAAGAAACCTTCAGCTAGGATCCTGCTGATTGAGCACTCAGCACTTTCCTCTGAGGGGAGTAGGGTGGGTTCACTAATGCAACCGTCAACCTAAATGCACATATTCTCAGAGCTGTTTCCTAAGAGGGTCTTGGGCTTTATGGGGAAGGGTTTCGGCTTTGGGGGCGAGGGTCCGGGATCTCACTACAAGGGTCCAGGAGCCATAAGGTAAGAAGCATGTACTGCAACAAAGCACCAAGAATCCCTGAAAAAGGCTCTGTCCGACGACCCGAGACTCCTAAAGCCTACCATAGAGGCCTTCATAATTCTAACAGGGTTTCGGGGGATATTATAATACTAGAAGTATAATACAGAACTCCCAAAATATTATACTAAAAGTATAATACGGAACTCCCAAAATATTATACTAAGTTATAATACGGAACTCCCAAAATATTATACTAAAAGTATAATACGGAACTCCCAAAATATTATACTAAATTATAATACGGAACTCCCAAATATTATACTAAAGTTACTAAAAGTATAATACGGAACCCCCCAAACCCAATTCTAATTATTAAAGTAAAAGCCAGAAAGTTGGAATACGATTATCCTAAACCCTTCTATGGTAAATTATAGGGTATCCTACCCTGAAACCATATTCCAACTTTCTGGAGTTCCCTGTAAGGCCCCTGAAAGCCCTAAACCCTACCTGATCCCTAAACCCGAAACCCCTAAACCCTACACCCCTAAACCCTAAAACCCTAAACCCTAAACCTCCCGAAACCCTGTGCTACATGTTAAGGCCCCTAAGGGCCTTAACATGAACCTGGGATCTCAGGCTCTTGCATCCCTTCGTTCCGTCAATGGAAAACTCGCCGGGGTAATTCGCCAGGAAGTGCTTCAATCCTGATACAGAGGGTTTAGGGTTTAGGCTTTAGAGTTTAGGGTTTAGGGTTAGGGTTTAGGGTTTAGAACAGATGTGCCCCGGCTTACAAGAAACCCTACACTCCTTCGGTTTGGCACTTTGGGGTTCAGGGTCTGTTCGAGCAAATCCCTGAGCCCTGCAGGAGTTCGTGCGCGAAGCTGATAAGTGCCGAGAAGAAGATGTCCAAGCGATAGATGGATGTTGCTATGGGCAACGAGTTGAGAACAGTCTATGATGGGACTCAGGGGGTTCTTACTAGCACGGATCTCTTTACGGTGGTCTCTGAATTAGACATCCTGCTAGTTGGGGTCTTCCGACCCTTTCTGAACCGCTATGTTGGCGATAATTACGTTACAAATGAAGAACGTCACTGCATGCGCAGAAGAACAAATCTTCATCCCCATACCTCGCACACCCCAACTTCACAGGACTGCCGAACACCCCATATTTCGGGACTTATAGCCCATCAGAGGTATGTACTCCGTACCTTAGTTAAGGCTTCTGGGGCTCGAAGCAAACGTGAACGTTCCTGAAGGTCATCAGAAAGAAAAGAGAGTAGCGATCCCTAGGAGAGCAAGTTACCGACATAGCGGCTTACTGTCCCTAAACCTTACAGGGTTTAGGGTTTCGCGGTTTATGGTTATTTAAACTTCGTAGTACCCGCAACCCAGTGACCTCCGATGCAGCTGGGCTCATAAAGCTATTCGGATGGTGATCACGATGAAGCTCATGACGTTGACGACGGCTCATGATGACGATGAAGATGATGGCACTGACACGACGATGGTGATGTTGTCGATAAAGATGGAAGAAGAAGATGATGATGGTGCTAGCTTGATGGCTTGAACAACAGTGCTGTTGGTGTTACTGCATCGCATAGCAGTCTCTCCCAACTTCCCAACTCGGGATGCCAGCATGGCACGTCACAAAAACGCAGTTGGCATCTGTCGCAGCTACGCGCCTGCCCCCCCATATCCACTGCTGGCTCTTTATGCCTGTAATGCATCGAACCATCCCCAATAAGACCCACGTCTAACTCGCGAATGAACGCAGTAAATTTACGCGAGGGTTGATTCAGTTGGGATCCCTGTGAAGCTTCCGGTGTTGATAGAAGTGGTCGGTGTATATGCGGAGAAAACCCCCAAGGAAGGCTCCAAAAACAGCGTTCATCTACATAACTCGGAGCTCCGTGCAGTTCCTTCCTAGACTATGATCCAACTGATCATGATATGAACAGGAGTCATAGCGATAGTACTTATGCCAATACGAGTACTAATATCCTAGTCTTGATCCTACTGTGTGCTGACTTCAGGGGAAATGCTCTCTGGCTCTCTCAACGAGCCTTGGTCCGCCTGCTTCAGAAACGCACGCGCGCCTGGACCAAAAGAAGCTCAAAGACTCTCTGTTCTAAAGGGTTCAAGTAACATTATGGCACCTCTTCATAGTTTTGAAATATCTACAAAGTACCTAACAGCACAAAGCATATGCTCTTGGGGCTTCGGGGCCTACATGCACCAAGCGCCTACTATGTGGCTACTTGGACCTTTTTGGGAATGTGCTGACTTCTATGCCAGCGCTTCGCGCCTGCAGCTCCAAATCTGAAACGTAACTCAAAACACCCTGGCTCCCTCAGAGACTCCAATACCCCTTAATTGAGGAATATTCCTTAAATCATAGTAGTGATCCGACTATAATTTGAGGTATATTCCTTAATTGAGGGCTAATTGGAGTCTCTGGCCCTCGTGAATCTGGGGGGTTTCCGAAAATAGGGGACCCTAATGTAGTACCCTAAATGGTAGGAGTCTTATGATACGAAGCCAAAATAGGGTACTAAGGTAACCCCTAAATTTCGGAAACTCCCATGTAGAAGCTGACCTGGGCTGAGGTCAGGCATAATCAGACTTTGAGGCCCGCGGAAAGGTAACAGAGAAAAACAAGCCGTGGCTACTGAACCAAACACACCAATCCCGACACAAGATAAGATACAGGAGCCCAATGAAGGCATATACATATGTGTTTGTATATATATATATATATGATATGATATGATATACGTATACATGCAGAGATGCACAAATATAGTCTTCTTGTTTTTTGTTGGTGGTATAGACAGTAACTGCAATGGAACTTAATATTTATTCAGACCCGTGTACTTTGCGAGGATATACGGAGTCCCTTAGTCAAGGAACCATCGCAAAACTGGTTTAATCCAATCCATTGTTCAAGCTCTGCACCGTAAAGGACAGCTTTTGATCCTACACCCTCAAGGCTGCACTTTCGAGTGCAAAACCCTGAAAGATAACGACAGAATTCCCTAAAGCGATCCACACAACTGAGCCCTTGCTCGCAGCTTTTGATCAGTTCTGTCGTCAGCTCTCTCGTGCACATCCCGTGACACCCCAAGCGGGATGTACACAAAACTCCCTCGTGATTCCACGGCTAGGTTCCTGAGTAGCCCCTCTATAATAAACGGTACCCTTTTTCCTACTATTCGGATCTTCTCAGGCGACCCCAATTAATTCGGCAATAAGGTACTACTCAGGAATCCCAGGAACCTAGACAGCTTCCAAGCGTGGAAATGGGACTCCTTGGGTCTCAGATTTAGGGCAGTCGCTCGGTTTGTGAGGGGTTTCAAGAGTCACCGGGCGTGGTAGGAGTAAGTTACAGAATAATATATAACTCATAAAAATAACAATAATAATCAATATTAATATTAATATTATTATTATTATTATTATGATTATGATTATGATTATGATTATTATTATTAGTAGCAGTAGTAGTAGCAATAATAAAGCGTATAGGATAGTAGTAAAAATACTTAGTAGTGGTAGTAGAAATAGTAGTAATACTACATCTCATTGGGTCAAGCGTTTGGGGCAGAGTGCTTGGTGGTCTAATGGCCCAGAGCAAGACCGCGACGACGTAAATTCTCTCAATGTTCCGGTGCTAAGGTTCGGCAGCATGTAACAGCGTGGCTCTTCGGGAGTGAGCTACGTCTTCGGATTCGGATGTCTGGCGCGGGGCTTCTCGATTCAGGTTTAGGTGTGGCCTATATGGTCTAGTGCTTTCGGAAGCTATATAGGGGCCTTAATGATTAGAACAGGGTTTGGGCCCATTGTAACATAACTAAAATTAGTATGTATAGGCAATTATTAAGGGCCCCTACATTAGCTCCCCATGAAGCGCGACCAGCGAGAGCCAGTGCTGGGCTCTGTCAGCTGGCCGATTTGCAAGTGATTTCCTTGACTTCTTGGTGTGGGCACTCCTTGGCTGCCGGGCTCCAAAGCAACAAGCTGTAGTGCTACTACGGTAACCTATCTGTATGTAGGATATCTTAATTTCGAACCCTAATATGGAATTTGTAGGGTCACTAACAAACAAACTAGTAGGTTCTGATAGGTAAAGGTCGGGTTTAGGGACGAGGGCATACATTCTACATTTTGCGTGTGGCAAGATGCAGGATCATCGACAAATACGCAAACACACACTCACGTACTTATTTACCCCGGCAGAACAGCACCGCGTACTTTCAAAATCAAAAACAGTATACCTCGAGCTAACCCTAAGCCCAAAAGACTGGACTCCATTGTGCTGGCACCCACATACGTGTACGCAGGCATACAGAGATGTTGAGAAGCTCGGGAGTTTCACAGTATTTATGTCGCCATTGTAAGCCTTGCAAGCCCCCGAAGCCCCCAGACCCTATAAACCCAAAACCATATCAAGCCCCCTCCTTCTCCCCCTGCACCAGAAAAAAAAAAAAAAACAGAAACAAGTGCATGCCACCATAACCAACCAGAAAAAACGTTGAACCAACAACATCGAGGGACTCGTCGCGCGGGCCAAGCTGGGCGCAGGCCCAGTGCTGGCATTGCTCTGCGGATCCACCTCGTCGGAATTTCGCGGCGCTTTGCGAGGACCTTAGCCGGCTTCAGGCCCCTAAAACCCAAATTTAGCGCTGGGGCGATGAGATGTTCAAGGCTTCAGGGCTTTCGGTTTCGGGGTTTCAGGGCTCATAACCTCAAGGGTCCAAGTAATAAAAGAACCCCAAAATAGTACAGGCAATCATTAAGGCCCCCAAAGTAAGCCTAAACCCAACCTTTACCAAACTCTGCGGGGTCGATGCACCGGCCACCCTAAACCCTAAACCCTAGGCCCTAAACCCTAAAGAAACTATCGTAAAACCCATCCGAGCGAGAAGGCCCAAAAGTTCCTAAGGCCGAAGTCCGAAATCATAGGAGCTTAGGGCGCAGGGTTTCGAAGTTTCGGGCTTTGGGGTTCAAGAGTTTAAGCTTTAAGTCTAGTAGGCTTTCGAGCCACTTGAGGAAGGTAAAAGTACCTTGTAACCCAGTAGCCTACGATGGAGGCAACCGGGCGCTTAGAGGAGTAAAGCCCTGATGGACACACGCACCCGAGAGCGAAGCCATCCGAAGATGTGGCATCCTGTCAGGCGGCAACACTGGCTTCAGGAGGTTAGGGTAGGGTTTGTAAGATTTAAAAGTTTGGTTTTATGCTTTAGGGTTTCAGGGTTTGGGGGTATGGGTATCGCGAACCCCAGCTTTTCAGGCTGAGGTTTCGTGTCTATCTCAGTCGAATGGCCTCCCTTAGTGTTCAGAGTCGCAAATGTAACAGCTGTCAACTTGAGGGGCGCTAAACCCCCTAGGCTTCTCCGGAATTGCTTCTTTACTTGCCTTTGGTTAGTAGGGAATGGAGGAATGAGGTACAATTATAAACTACTATTCCTACCATTCTTCCATCCCCTGCTAACCAGAGGTAAGTTTAGGCTTCACAAAAGCCCCAATTGCCTTTTTATGGAACTCTGATGGTTCTTAATAGTGGGTACTTAGGTTATATTAGAGGGCAGCTGAGGGGTCTAAGCATGTTCGCGGACGTGTTGAAGGGCTAAAGGTGTCCAGTCAGTTCGGGTTCAAAACTGATGGTTCAGGGATCAGGATTTAGGGTTCAAGGGCTCTAGGACTCTTAGGGCTGGGAGGGTTTAGGGTAATAAACCCTAAACCCCAAAAACCTGAACCCCAAACCCCCAACCGATAAAACCCTAAAACCCGAAACCCTGAACCCCAAACACTCAATCCCAAAAACCGCTACGCCACTACATCAGGATCAAAGCTCAGAGGAGGCATCTGGTGCTCCCGTCCTTGCGCTTTCGTCGAACGCCGACGGCCCAACCGTCCTCAGCGCGGCGTAGAGTTTAGGATGTAAGGTTTAGGGATCTAGGGTGTAGGAGTTTAGGGTTCAGGGTTTAAAAGTTTATAGGGATTAGGGATGGTAAAGTTCAGGCTTTAGGACTTTAGTGGTTTATAGTTGAGGATTTACTGACCCCAAACCCAAAGGCCGCAACCCTGGTGGAGGACGCCTAATCAGAAGCCTCGGGTTCCCCAAACCGCTACATTGGCCTGACAAAGTCCGAAAACCCATCAGCATCTCCAGAACCTGAGACGACCCTCAAAGTCCCGCCTAACTAGAAACTCGAAACCATAACTACCTTAACCCTGAATAACCCGCGTTTTTAGGGTTGCTTATTATGATTTAGTTATAGAAGCCCTCAAAAAGGTAGGTTATTCTGGGTTGTGGTAGCCCCACCTCAAGAAGAACAGTTGACCTAACAGCCTCGGATCTGGGTCGAGTTCAGGGGCGTGGGGCCTTTTCAAGTTTGTGGTCACCTTATTATCTAGTTCATGGTCGGGATAGGATTAAACATGTACATATTTACTCCTTATTGGGGTTAAGTACCCATAAACATGTAAAATGTTACCCAACTATGACAAAATTATGACCTTAGGGTTTAGGGATGTGGGGCCTTCTTAAATTAGTGGCACCGCACGACCTTAAGGCCTACGGCCCTGAATCCCAAGCAACAAAATGGGAGGCCGGTACCCACAAGCCAAAGCCACCGATCCGATACCGGGATGCTGAAGAAACCATGGTGACTAAAATCATATTAGGGCTCCTCGTCTAGTTTACTATATTCCTCAAAAACAGGGTTTTAGGGGGTCTCTGGGTTTACTGAAGCTCTTGCGCCTTGAATATATCCGTAGATCATACTTTGAGGGTTTAGGGCTTCGGGATACATCTTCTAGCGCTTAGCAAGCCCCTTCCTGAGCATGTTTCTGAGGGCTCTGCTCCGAAATTCGTGGCGTAAGAGCCATCCTGCCGATGAGACGGCAGGCTCCAGGGTTCAATGCTTAGTATTGAGGGTTTAGGGGATATAATAGCGTTTAGGGTGCGGGGTCTCGGGCCCTAAGCCCTAAACCGTTAGACCGAGCGTTTAAGGTTTAGAGAGGAGGCTGCTTTCCTGGCTCATCTCGCTAGGCTATGTTGAGCCTTGTGCAAAAGTTCACGGTCCATGTGAGGTGGTGTCTACGGTTAAGGGTTTGGTTTACCGGGGTGGAAGGTATGGAGTATGGGGTGCAGGGTCGTCCTGAGGAGACCCCCGATCCGCATTGGATGCAAAGACTGTTGGCCCTACATAAACCCGAGGAGACATGCTAAAAGCTTGGCAGGGAGTGGTTTCACATGGCGCTTTACGCCTTGGACCCAACAGCCTTACACATGAGCGTACTCATATGTAGAGTACGGTCTTTGGACTCAAAAGCCTTGACATTATGAGCAATTTTAGCCTCAGGGTCAAGGTTCAACTTGAGCCTCTTCCTGGACAGCGGCATCGGTCTGCGTAGGAGCAGCAGACTCGCAGAATCGAGCCTAAGACAGACTGAACGTAACGTTCGGGTTTAGGGTGTAGTCTACATAGGGTGTAGGGTTTAGGGTAGACGGAACGAAAGTTTAGCAAGTGCTCGGAGCCCATGTATAAAGTCGAGGTAGCTCATCGACCTGACGCAATGATAAGTGGAACTTCGCTTTGGGCTGCCTGGGTTCATGGGCAATTCTGGATAAAGCTTTTCCGAAGCTTACCTTATCGTAAGAACAAAGATGATCGCCAACTGGGGTTTACGATTCAGGGTATCCTACTTTTATGGGGTCAATATCAGGGCCCATATTCTGAATCTCTATTACTCTATTCTGGGCTGTCGGAGTCCATCCGGACTTTGTCTCGGTGGCAGGCGACTGCTCATGGGCTCGGGGATGCCCGAGTGGTTGCAGGTCGTTTAGGGCTTATAGGGCTGACTTATAAGGCTTTGACTTAGGGTTTAGGGGTGTCTGCACTTTAGGGTTCGGGTACGGTCAGGATTGACAACGGTCCACGACCAATAGGTTAGGGTGCCGGCTGACTGCGTGTTGTGAGTGGGCGGGGGGGTCGGGTCGTAAGAGTTACTGTGGATGGACAATATCCTGCATGACCCAATATTAGGAATATACCATACTTCCCATAGCTTAGGGTCCTTAACGTCATGCAGGATCGAAATCATCAACCCTAAACCCTAAACCCTAAACCCTAAAACCCTATAGATCCCTTAAACGGCGCCTTAAAAGGTACCCTGAAGGAAGCCGTAGGGCTTCAAAGGCAGCGTAACGAAGCTGGGAGACGTTGGAACTTGGGATTCAGCTTTCCGGCTTTAGGCTCGGATTTTACCCTGAAGGTCCGAGTACCATATTGGGGATCTATAAGGGTTCCTTTAAGGGATCTATAAGGGTTCCTTTAAGGGATCTATAAGGGCCCCTTTAAGGGATCTATAAGGGCCCCTTTAAGGGATCTATAAGGGCTCCTGTAAGGGATCTTACTACCCTAAGGCTCCTAATAGGGTCTTGGGCTTTCTGGGGGAGGGTTCCGGCTTTGGGGGCTAGGGTTCGGGACCTCGCTACAAGGGTCCGGGAGCCTTAGGGTAATCATATACTCACCAAAATCCTAACCTACATAACTACTATCCTAGAACCGAGTACCCAATAATCGGGTCCTTTGGACCCTTGGGGTTAGAGTCTGGATTTAGGCGGGCTGCGGGTCTCTAGGGTCTTTCCTTGCTGGCTTCAGGGTAGTTAACAGTTTTAGGGTTCACCATGCTTAGTGGTTCATGAGTAATCTAAGGGTCCTAACACTTTAGGGAACCTCAAAATGTAGGGCTGCTGAGACCCCAAAGAGACCCAAGGGCTCTGCCTAGGAGATGCCGGACCCTCCAAAGGAGATACCTGGACCCTTAAGGTAGCCACTAACTGGGCTATATACCTTGTCATACATGTCTGCCTGAAGCTACCATAAACAATTTTGTTGTAAAGCCCTAACGTGGGGTTTACGTGGACCCTACCAAAAAACAGGCTTTGGTAGGTTGGGGTAGCTATCCTATTTCGCCATAGCCAGCCATGCGCTTTTTTGAAAGTTGTGCACCTGCAAGGCAAGAAAGGCAATCCTCAGAGGTCATGAAAAGCTTAACCTTGCTACCACGCATCTGCAAGGCCCACCGGAAGTCTTCGGTGTAAATGGTTTGTCGCTTGCAGTGACCTGCCACTCAACGGTCTGGCGCATGATCTCCTGCATGACGCCCTCCACGACCATGCGCAATGCTGCAAGTGCACATGTGTCGAGCTTCATTCCCCGAAGGCTCCATGTGCCCATGTAGTATATACTTAGGCCTTTAAGTACCTACATAGGGACCCCTTTAAGCTTTAAGTATCTACCATCAAAACATGGAGTCTTTGGGCTCCTTGCAAAAACTCGGCACATCTCCAGTACCCACATATCAGCCTCCTCTGGAATGAGCTCTCCGAAAACCTCCTTCACTACCCGAAGAAAGGGAGTAGGCCAAATACAGAGTTTGCTTCTCTGGAAAGCAGCACGCAGCAGTTGCTGTACAAGGCACCCTCCACACACCTCACGACAACTCCTGCCACAAGCTTGAGCACACACCCAACTGTAGTACATGAGCAGGCTGCTTCTCAAGTCCAGATTCAACCTGAAGCAAAGCAAAGTCCCAAGCAACTTACATCCCAAAAACCCGGAATCGCACTGAACAAGAGACCACAAACCCACAACAACTGAAGTGGATTCAAGAAAGAACGTTCCAGAAGACTCATGGGGTTCTCTTTACAAGGGTGCCGTACTATTTTTGGGGACATAACAGTGACCCTACGGTTGATGATGTAAAACCTGCATTGCCTTAGTGACCCTAGGCTACGGGAATTATGGTATATTTCTTACTACGGGTAATGCAGGCTTTATATCATCAACCGTAGTTTAGAGAACCGCCTAAGTAGCGACGGTCGCACCTGCCGAGGCCTCGACCCACTTTGGGGCTGCATCAAGGGTTGGCCTGCAAAAAGGGGTTTAGGGTTTAGGGTTCACGGTTGCCTTTTGGGGCGTAGGGTTTAGGATTCAATTCTCTACACCCGGCGGATTAGGGCCACTGTAGGGCTTTAGAACTTTCGGGCCCCAGGCATCGTCTGCATTACCAGCCGCCCCCCCCCCCCCCCCCCCCCCCCCCCCACACATGAACATGAACATCCTCGAAATCAGGCAAATCAAGACAGGGTCTCAATCCTCAGGCCTCGCACGGTTTAGGGTTTAGATTCAGGGTTTGCGCACAGCTGACATTTTTCATTTCAACAATAACTGCTTTTGCGGTGTGTTCTAGCTTTGAGGGTGGTCTGCACAGCGGACACCCATTGCATCCACCTGCAAACCTCAACTCTGAATGTGAAGCCTACGGGAACCCTGCATTCCTACACCTGCTGAATCCAGAAACTGTTAAACCTCCCAAAACCAAAAAGTCTTGTCCGGAATGCTTCATATGCCGAGCTAAGGATTGGAGGTGCAACTCGGAACAGCACTTCCTCGGCTAAACAGCTGTGCGTCGAACCACGAGGCTTCACTATCGGCGCTAACCCTAAGGCTCTATAAGGATCCCCCAGAGACTCCAATAGCCCGTAATTAAGAAATATACCTTAAATTCTAGTAGGATCCCTAATATGACTTAAGGTATATTCCTTATTTAAAGGGTATCGGAGTCTCTGGGCGACTCATATTCTAAGGCTTTTGCGCCTGCAGACCATACTACAGAAGGCTGTTGGGCTATTTGAGCCTTCGGGTAAGCCATGTAAAACTCCAGCATTAATGTTTGAGATAAAACGGCGGGATCCACCTCGTCTCGGGGGCCGCATGATTCTGCAGTGGCAGTGGCTCAGCCTAGCAGGCACTATTACACTGTCATGATAATGAGGAAACCGCAAAACCCCATAATGGCGGCATATTATGCTATAGTTATACCAAGCAATCCCCACAACCCCTTTACAATCATCAAGGCCTTTACACTACAGCCCAACATCCGAAACCCTACGTCCACCATAACCCTGAACATCCAACCACCGGGACGGGGTTTAGGGGTCTAGGGGTTTAGGGGTTTAGAGGCTTAGGGGTTGGGGTTTCGGGGCTTAGGGGTTTAGGGTTTCACGGGTTTTGGGGTTAGGGTTTCGGGGTTTAGGGTTTCCCTAAGGTTCCTAAGAGGGTCTTGGGCTTTCTGGGGAGGGGTTTCGGCTTTGGCTAGGGTTCGGGATCTCACGCCGTAAAGTAAGGATCAAATAACGGTAGAAGTAGGGACCCTTTTCCTTGATACTATGAAACCCTTTTTCTGGTATTCGTACCTTCACCCTTTTTTCGGGTTCTTTTCGTCCTTAGGGTACGCCGAACCCCAAGCCGCAAGCCATCCGCTCGGCAGAAATTCCAGCCTTCAACGATTACAAGTACCAGTAATCGTGGCATTAGCCGTCGCCGCCGTCGCAATAGCAGCAGTACCAGTGGAACCGGAAGCTGTAGCAGTAGCAAGAGCAAGAGCAGGAGCAGCAGCAAGAGCACTTGCACGAGTAGGAGCTGGCGCATGCAGTAGCCCTAGCGATAGCGGCAGCGGCAGGGCAAAAGCATCAGTAGCAGTCGGAGTCGTTGTGTTAGTAGTGTTAGTGCTAGGAGTCGTAGTGGTGGTAGTAGTAGTCGTCGTCGACGTCGTCGTCGTAGTAGCAGTAGGACTAGTTGAAACATGAGCAACAGTGACTGTAGTGGCAGCCGTGGAAACCCCAAGGGTCCAACTCCCTAATAATCATATACTCTCCAAAATCCTAACCTACATAACTACAATCCTAAAACCGAGTACCTCACTATTAAGGCCCATATAATGGAACCCTTATAGTATCCCTTATAGTAGCCCTTATAGACCCCTGTGAAGGAACCCTAAACCCTATCGGGTCCTTTGGACCCTTAGGGAAATAAAAACACAAACTCGGGACTACCGGCCTGGCTTTGCCGAAACTCGTCCGCTCTTTGCAGACGCAGGGCTTCGGCCTGGCAGGCTTGAAGGAGGGCTCCACTGTAGGGGCCCGAATAGTTAGAATAGGGTTTGGGGGCCCATAATACTATAACTTTAATAAGAAACCCCACAATAGTATTGGTAACTGTTTAAGCTCCTACATTGCGGAAACAGTTGCATATCTGGGGCTCAGAATGACATCAAGCGCAACTGTTTTAACAATTGAAAACCCAACCAGGCCTGTAAATGGAGTATACAGGGGGGCCGAGGCACTGAGAGCGAGGTTACATGGTATGCTATTGTGCTATAGCTGTTGCACCATGATCGAAGATGTGGCAACCTCAAGGAAACACAAAGGCAACTGATCCCCCAACCCTAAACCGTACAGTACGGAGCCGTCCTCTTTGCCCTTCGTGAAATTCAGCTGCTGCACGACCTCTCGCAGCTCTTTGCCGGCCGTACCTGACCGAAAATCCTAAAGCCCAAAACCCTGCACCCGACAATCCCAAAAAACAAAATCCAAACCTGAAAGCCCGGCACACCCTATAAACCCTAAGCCCCTAAACCTTCATCAGGATCTCGAGCTTTGAGCCCTTTAGGACAGAAGTGATCCGGCTCAATCTCTGGACAAGAGACGGACCAGAAAACTTGAACCTGAAGGATTACAGTTTCGGGATTGGGATTTAGGGAAATTGGGCTTAGGGTGTACATGCTGACGATGACGCCGCGGGCGGCGCGACAAACGAAGCTGCGAACAGCCACCAACTTCGCTATACTTGTGTTTAACGGTCTCATAAGGTCCCTAAAGAAGCTAGACCCTATATCTCAAACGAACCAATATGGGAGTTGCCGAACATAGGGGCCCTAATAATACCCTAAATAGTCGGATCCTTATTATAAGGACCCCCAAAATACGGACCCGTAATTTGCGGAAACTCCCATATACCGCCACCCAGCCCCCCCCAAACCCTAACCCCTAAACCGTAAACCCTCAGACGAACCAATACTTGGAGGATCATGGGACTTAGTAAGTAGGGTTATAAGTACCTTTATTGGGGTTATAAGTAGTTATAAGTATAGTTACCCTAATTATAACCCTAGTTACTAAGTCCCATGATCCTTTAAGTATTGACAAATCCTCAAGGCGAGCCGCCGGATGCCAGCACGGCTTTCACCGACCTGGAGGAGGCTGCGCTGACATAAGGGAGTTTCCGCAAATTAGGGGTACCTTATTTTGGGGTCCTTATAATTAGGATGCTACTATTTAGGGTACTATATTAGGGTCCCCTATTTTCGGAAACTCCCATAAGGTTTTCTGAAAGTGACTGAGTGGATGCGTGGGGCTCCTTTTGCAACTCAGGGTTTAGGGTGTAGGGTCTGGGATTACGATAGGGTTTATAGCAGGATAGGGCTTAGGTTTACGAAGACTGGTCAAGGTTGATCGCGAAGCCCCGAAGCACTGTCGCATGGGTAAGGGATTCTAGTAACACTCCACTGCCCCAATCCCAACAAACCTGCAGACCCAAACCTTGCACCCTGAAACCCTGACTCGCACGGCTTCAGTGAACCGAATGCCAGTATGTTCTAGGATGCCCTGTAACCTAGGAATCAAAGGGATCCCTTTTTGGTAGTAGGTAACTTTATAAGGAACCTAGGACTACAAAAAGGGAATAGGGGTACTACTGGTCATCCTAGTCATGCCGCTTTAGGACTAACTGTGCCAGAACCGGCATGGGCTCAGGTTGTTCGGTTTCGGGTTCTAGTCTTCGCGCTTACCCTACAGGGAACTCCAGAAAGTTGGAATATGGTTTCATGGTAGGATACCCTATAAATTACCATAGAAGGGTTAGGATAATCATATTCCAACATTCTGGCTTTTACCCTAAGGCTCCTGGACCCTTGTAGCGAGGTCGTTCCGAACCCTAGCCCCCAAAGCCGGAACCCTCCCCCAGAAAGCCCAAGACCCTATTAGGAGCCCTAGGGTAGGACATAGAATGCAAAGTCCCAAGATGCAGGCTGTTGTCCAACCTGCCGCATGTATCGAAGCAGGGCTACCCATAGGCCCCATAGCAGTTCCTTTTTGGGATTACCTTATAGGATTGAAGACTGTAAATATGAACCCCCAAAAAAGGAACTACTATGGAGCCTATGGGTACCTTGGCCCATATCACTTGCTGAATTTCACGCGTCCGCAAATTGTGCTTCTGGGACCTGACGGTGTAGTTGTCCTTTTGTTGGAGTGGGTCCTATCGTGTGGATATGGAACTGTTGGCAACTAGAGCCACCCGGAACAGTGACCGCGATATGAGTACAGGTGGTGTCAGCTATGAGTCTCGGCAATGTTGAGACTCCACCGATCCACCGACGGGAACTAACCCTAACCCCTAAACCGTAACCCATTAACCGCCGCACGTCTGTGAACTCCTCACCGATCAACAGTCGACGTTCTGGGCATTGAGATTTGTACTGGCTCACAGGGCAATCCAGACCATGATCACAAACTGCAAGCACAGCCAAAACACCCAAAGAACAGCCTCTTGCAAAAAGTATTGGAGTGAAGACTTCTCGTAATCCTTTTGGTAACTCTTATGGTACTGTAGCCCAGCAGCATATAAATCCTACAAACCCTGAGGCAGCACGCCTACAGCCATGATGACTCGTTTGGTCAGCTTTAGGGAGCTCAACTGCAGTCTGCTGTGAACAAGTAAATTAAGATTATAAGAGCCTTAATAGTTAGGACGGGGTCTGGGTCTACGTTGAAGTGTTAAAGTATTCTGATAAGCAGCCAGCAATAACTTTGGTAACTCTGCAGGCGTCTACATTTCTAAATTGCCGATGAGTTCCTCCTGGTCCTCATGCCGCTAAATTCCCCAACGCCACTGGAAGTGGGCAAAAGCCAGGCCCAGTAAGGCTCTGGCTGTTTGGCGCCACAGAGTTTGCCTAGCTCTCAGATGCTGCTTTGATGCTTGAAAACCTGCTTTTTTTACCCGGGACGTCAAACCGCAATCCCTGACTCCTCAGGCTCTCTTCATGAACTGCGTCACCTGCGCGCTACTGATAGTACGTTACAAAAGCCAGAACAGCTGTTTCTACAAGTACTATTGCTACTGAAACACAGTGAATGATGCCAGCATGGCAGTGAAACATCATTGCAGTCTTGACAAATTACAGGTCCCCGTCGCTCTTGTGCCGATGCTGGTGGTGCCAGTGTTGGTGGCGATGAACAGTAGTGCACTAAGTCGTCGTCGTGATAGCACTAGTAGCAGGAGGAAGGAGCAAGGGCAGTAGGAGTAGTAGTAGCACTAGCAGTAGCGGTAGCGGTTGCGGTAACGCTGGCAGTAGCGGCAGGGGCAGTGGTAGAGGTGGCAGTAGGGGTAGGGGGTAGGGGGAGGGGTAGGAGTAAGAGTAGGAGTGGGAGGAAGAGGAGGAGGAGCAGGAGTTTTGTGGTTGTTGCTGTTGTTCTTGCACTAGAATCTTTCGGGTTTGTTTCCACACCTGGGTATCCCTTATCAGACATTGCAACCCCTAAGCCATAAAAACTTAAACCCTAAGACCTTCGACTCTAAAACCCCCAAATCTAAACCCCAAACCGCTACCTGGAGCTGTTTGGGATGACTGGATTCGTCGCTTTGCTCGACCAAACCACTGCACCAGAACCCTCAACCCTGACACCGAAACGTACAGAAACCTGCGGCTCTGAGGCCCTATCCTAAACTACCATAACTTAACCCTAAGGGTCCAAGTATATAATAACCATATACTCTCTTGAACATTGAGCTACATAACTACTATCCTAAACCCAAGTACCTGATTGTTGGGTCCTTTGGACCCTTAGGGTAATAACCTACTTTGTTGTAGGTTCGTATTTAAACTCCGAACATGGAGTGTATCGGGAGCCTGACAAAAGTAGGCCTCTAGTCGGAGATGCAAGGTTATGTAATGGTATACGTGATTTACTTGGTTTAGGGTTTATCTCAACCCCGATGGGTTCTAGGTACTGTTTTGGGGGGTGCTTCCCCAACTCATAACAGTAGTTCCTTGGGTTTATGCTTTAGGGTTTAGGGCTGCAAAATAATGTTTCCCTGATGATGTCTGGGCAGGTTCCGCCAATGCTATATGGGGAACATTGGACCTGGGTTTCTGAGTAGTCCTCGAACTAACAGTAAAAGGTAATCTTAATCCTACTATTCGGTGTTTATGAAGCCCTGAGGGTCCATGTACCCAAATAGTATATACTTTAGGCCCAATGTACCCATATAGGGAGTACTTTTAGGCCAATGTATATACTATTTAGGTACATGGACCCTTAGGGAAGGGACCCCAAAATACTGTTACAAGGGCAACAGGGCACTACCGAGGAACCTTGGGACTGATGGCATCAACCATTGAAACCGTAAGACACACCCGTGGCAAAGGCCCTGAGGCCCCTTCATCGGAGGCCTCCAAAGGTGGGATGAAGGTAGGTTTAGGGTTTAGGGTTTAGGGTTTAGGGTTTAGGGTAGGTAGCATGAAGGATCCCTCATCTAAGGACTCTTGGGTTTGGGAATATCCCACCTACCTTCATCCCACCTTTGGAGCCCTTTGATTCATTCGCCAACCCCTGAACTGCACTAGCGTTACTCACGCGGGAAGCCTGCTTTGAAGGAGGTGATCATGTCTGGAGGTCTGGGCATGATGTATGTAAAGAAATCCTAAGAAGGAGTCCCCATGTTATACCTTGAGGCTCAAAATAGCACAACAGCCTTGTATAGTATGGTTCTTGGGCCCAAAAGCCTTAAACATGTGAGTCCTTAGAGCCTGAGGGATAAGGTCCAGGTACTTCTAAACTACGGTTTAGGGTTTAGGGTTCTAAACCGCACATCTTCTTGGGTGCCGGGCAGTCAAACTTCTGCTTCTTGTTTCTCTGCGTCACCTGGTGCGTCTGACCTCAAGTAAGAAGGGTTTTACTCAGATCCTCTGGTATGGGCCCTAAGTACCTTGAAGGTTCCTTTAAAGGGTTACTATAAGGGTCCGATAAGGGTTCCTTTAAAGGGCCCTAAAAGGGTTTAGGGAGTTTCCGAAAATTGGGGTACCCGATTTTGGGGTCCTTATAATGAGGATCCTGCTATTTAAGGTGCTCTATTAGGATCCCCTGTTCTTAGGAAACTCCCGTATGTGTGTGCGTGTAAGTAACTAAAAACGAGTGAAAGCAAGGGAACGATGCAAGCGCCCGCTGGAAGGCCTTGGGTCTGTAGGCCATTCTCAGGAATGCCTTGCTTTTGATCTGCAACCCAGCCTCTGTTGGGTCCCTCCCGCCACAGGGTTTGGACCCTCCACAGTTGCTCAACTTCGGGTCGGGGTGCAGGCGGAGCAGGTGGAGCTTCGGCCGCACGGGCATCCCCGTCTTCGACATCGCCCCATACGCTTTCACACGGGCACGGGCAACTTCGAAGGAGCACACCGCATGCAGAGGGAACTGATCGAAGTGTTGCCGGGCCTCGCCCGTGCTCTGGAGTTCCAACTGTGTCCCATCCTGTGCCAGCAAGCGACAGCACAATGTCGGAACGCCCCACGCTGGCTCGAGTTTCCGACAACAGGGGACCCTAATTGACCCTAATGTTTTACCCGAAATAGTAGGATTCCTCATTATAAGGCCCTGAGAATAAGGTACCCCCAATTCTCGGAAACTCCCATATCGAACAAGCATCAATAACAATAACGAACCACGCTGCCTCGATTTCAGGAACTTCGGAGATGAGATCCTACACCCAAATCCTTGTAACCCTGGGGCCGTTTTGGCTCCGGAACCCTCCCTAAACCCTAAATGCGGATTTAGCTGTTTGGCGTGGGGTGAATGTGAACATGCAGCATCTTGGAGGTCTCAAGGTTTGGTCGCTTCTTGCTTTTCGAATAGTATGGGGGCCTTAATAATCAGAACAGGGTTCCTTTGAAGGGCCCCGTTAATGGCTACTATAAGGAACCTATAAGGGATTTGTGGATATAGGGGCCTTAATAAGTTGAATAGGGTTTTGGAGTATATTAGACTATAGTTATAAAAAGGAGCCCTTAACATAGTAGTGCTAATTGTTAAAGCCCCTATATTAAGGGTTTCAGTGTACCCCGGTGAGGGCGTGACAACCGGGACAGAGAGCATAAGGGTCTATGTATCTACTTGGCCTTAACGGACCGCAGTATTCCCGATAAACACAAAATATGGGCACTTTAGGGCCAAAGCACATGCGATGTAGATACGTCGACCCTTGTCGGTTCATCCACTAAGCACTGGCACTAAACCCTACACCCTACTAAGCCGAAACCCTATAAATCCAAAAGCCAAATAAGCCTAAACCCTAAACGCCCTAAACCCTAGACCCTAAACCCTCAACCCTAAACCCTCAAGCGCCTAAACCCTAAACCGATCTGGAGGGATCTCCTAAGCCCTCGCCCTTCTCCGTTCACAGGAATGTTGCAGGCAAGTCCGATCTTAACCCTGGAGCTCAAAATAGCCCCAAAGCCTTATGGGTGTGCATAATTACATATGACATATTATGCGTATGTATCTGTGTATGTATATATATATATATATATATATATATATATATATATAGCTAGATAGATAGATAGATAGGTAGATAGATAGATAGATATACAGCGATTATATGTGTGTATAGTAACATAATACCTTCTGTGGCCGCAAAGCCTTAACATATGAGTCCTTCGAGCCTTGGGGAGAGGGGTTTGAGCCCAGGGTTTCGAGCTGCCCGGTTTAGGGTTTAGGGTTTAGGGTTCGCCGGCGCTGCTACGCTACCGGCAACGCATGGTGTTGAAGCAGAGTTAGGGGCACGCAGAGGCCTCATACTAGTCCCTTTTTGGGATTACCTTATGTAGAGTTCTAAATATGAGCCCCCAAAAGGAACTACTATGGAGCTTTGGGTAGATTACGACCAATGCTGAACGTTCGACTGACAGACAGATCCGGTATATGGCTCTGGGAATTTGACTGGCTGCCTAAGTATGCAATCCAACGGCCACTCAGTCAACTAGTCGCCGTGCAGTCGAGTGACAAAAAAAGCATCGCACAACAATGTGCTCTGGCATGGAACCGCAAACGTGTTGCAAGCGGGGAAGTTTGAACTAAGGACACCCGAACCTTCATGCAATACTTGCGACGAATGGGACTTGTCTGCTTCAGAACTTGTCACTCGTTTTGCTGTCCCCTGAAGTCTATATCCCAAACCAATACACGCGCGGAATACCCTAAACGGAAACACTAAATTCGCAGGACTCTACTGTAGCAAGGATTCGACGATACCCAAGCTACTCGCTACCCTGGCTTCCCTGTTGCGTTTGTGGTTTGATTGGGGTGTAGGAATTAGGAGTATCTGTTGTTGGCGCAAGGCTGACTGTGGTGATGCAGCGGTCCAGGGTGTGATTTCTACTCTCTCTGTCTCGAACAATGGAGCCACAAGGTCAGTCGGCGGCAATGTCTGTCAACACAAACACACACACTCACACACACACACACACACCCACACACACACACACACGCACACACACACACACAGTGACTCGGGGGACCCCTAACCTCAAACACTCAAACCTGAGCCGTGAGAGAAGTTGTCGTATCTACTTGCGGGCCGGTTGGGGTTGGGGCGGCTATGGAGGCATTGGCGGATTCAGAATGCAGATTTTGATCCTACCCTAAATACTGCGGCCCAATGTGCGAGGAAACTGGAATGTGAGTTGGGGGGTATATTGCAGCATGGACCCTTGTAGTGAGGTCCCGAACCCTAGCCCCCAAAGCCGGAACCCTGCCCCAGAAAGACCAAGACCGTATTAGGAGCCTTAGGGTAAGCAATACTACGGTTGATGATATAAATCCTGCATGACCCTTTATAAGGAATATACCATAGTTCCCATAGTTTAGGGTCCTTAAGGTAATGCAGGATTTATATCATCAACCGTCTCAATGAGTAATAGGGGAGGAACGGTAACCCATTGCATGGGAAACTGGACTCTCGAGGTTCTGGTCTGAGGATGGTGCGAGTTTGAGGTTTTGGTTTTGGAAGTTCTCTAGACCTAAGAGTAACCCAGGAATTAAAAGGGTGCCTTTTTTGGTTTAAAGGTGGTTATAAGGGAACCTAAACCCTAAAAAAGGGAATAAGGGCCTACTCCGGGTCCTAGTTCTTAGTTGCTAAGTTCGTAAGCCCCTAAAAGTGTACACTTTCAGTTTTATTGTGTGTAATATTATCCAAAAAAGTGTAAAGTGTATCCAGTCAGCTACTATGTGATTGAAACAATGGACCCTTACTGTTGATGACATAAATCCTGCAGTACCCATAATACTGAATAGACCATAATTCCCATAGTCTAGGGGCAGCAAGGTAATGCAGGACTTATATCATCAACCCTAGTATGGGCCCTTAATCCGAGGATCCCGATAGACCTGCTGAAAACTCGGTTCAGGGTTTAGGGTTTAGGGATGTAGCCTTAAGGGTCCCCTTAGCCTGGACAACCTTACTGAACCGACAGGCTATCAAGGACCTTTACTGCGCCACAAAGTTTGCGCACTTTGCCTGAAGCACTTCGGGCAGTTTTTAACGGGAATCTAGGGCCCCCAAATCGATTCCAACAAACCCTAAACCACCAAACCTAAAAGCTAAACCCTGATAAGCCTGAACCCTAAAACCTAAACCCCTAAACTACAAAACCCAAAGCCCTAAACCACGAAACCCTAAACCGGTGAGGGCTTTCGAGCACTTTCAGCTCGGAGTTCAGGATTGGGGAACAGGTCTTGGCTCTCTGATACCCTCTACAACACTGTCTGTTTCTTAGAAGGGAATGATCTGAACCCCAAGCCCTCAACCCTAAATCCTCAACCCTACGCCCTAAACCCTCAACCCTACACCCTAAATCCGAAACCCTGCACTCTCAATCTTAAACCCTCAGGCCGAACCTAAAGGCTCAACCCTCAACCCCAAACCCTAAATCCTAAACCCTCAACCCCTCCGTGTCTGCCTCCGGAAAGCGAGACTCCGAGCATGCTCAGCAAGATGCGCCTGCACAGTAACTTAGGGGCCTTAATGATTAGAATAGGGTTCCATTCAAGGGGTCTATATACGGGCTACTATAAGGGATCTGTAAGGGATTTAGGGATATAGGGGCCTTAATAATTAGAGTAGGGTTTGGGGGCCCACTATACGAAAATTATACGATGGAACCCCCAAAATACTGTGGATGGACACTATCCTGCATGACCCAGTATAAGGAATATACCATAATTCCCATAGTTTAGGGTCCTTAAGGTCATGCAGGTTTTATATCAATGACCTTAGAAGCCCTAAACCCTAAACGGGCGCCCGCAAGCTTCAATCCCAGGACTGAAAGGTATGCACGCTACTGACACTGCGGGGATGTTCAAAGTCATGCAGGATTTTGTCCATCAGCAGTAGTTTAGGTAATTACTAAGGCCCCTATATTTTGGAACCCTAATACCCCTTATAGACCCCTTTTAAGAGTTCCTTTAGAGTAGTTTACGTAATTACTAAGGCCCCTGTATTATCGGTCTGGAGGGCTGCTGGGAGCTTGGAGCTTCTCTGGGCTTCGGCTATGGAGGGCTTAAGGCTTAACCCTAAGGGTCCGCAAGGGACCCAACACTTAGGTAATCGGTTCTGGGATAGTAGTTATGTAAGGTAATCGGTTCTGGGATAGCAGTCACGTAGGTTAGGACGTTTTGTGAGTGTATGATTCTTGGGTGCTTGGACCCTTGGGGGTAAGGTTTCGTGTTTATTGCTTAAGGCTTAAGAGGCTCAGCGGTTTTATGAGGCTTGGCCTGTAGTCTCCATTGTAGTTCCTTTTTAGGGCTACCTTTTAGGATCCTTAATATAAAATTTGTTAAACCAAAAAAAGGAACTACTATGGAGACTATAGGCGGGTTTTCGGGGGAACCCATGGGTCGAACCCCGAACTGGATCAAGTTCAGGGTCTTGTTTCAGGGATACCCTACTGTTTTAAGGGCTACAGCCTCTAATGAAGGGGTCATAACCTACTATTTTGTAGGGTTTGGGGATACAGGAAGGGTTTGGAGTTCTCGAAGTCTTGAATGAAAGCTTAATTTGGATAGAAACAATCTCAGGGTTCAGGGTTTAGCTTTAAAGAGGTTTGTCCAATGTTGGTTGTTTTACTTCTTAATGGATCTAAGCCTTCGATTTCAGGTTCAGGCTTTAGGGCTTCACGTTCTTAAGATTGTGGGTGTTTGGTTAAGGAGCTACGCATAGGGACTTGCAGCGATCCGCAGCGCCGTGCCTATTGCCGGGCTTGCTCATCTCTGTGCGACATTCCGCGACCTCAGCGGATTTAAACCCGGGGCCGAGAAACCCTACGGCTCCATGTGCCTTTATAGTATATACTTAGGCCTTAAAGTCCCTAGGTCTAAGTATCTACTACAAAGGTACATGGAGCCTTTCGGAAACACACTCAGTTTCATTACAATTGGAAAGCCTAAGATGCAAAACCGCAACCCAAACCCCAAACCGCAAGCACTAAACATGCGTGTATCTATAAAGACTCTATCTTGATGACTTTACAAACTGATCCTCGTCTTGAAGAGACGTAAACACGAAGGCACAGAGTGTGCAGACTATCATTCAACTGTTGCCCATTAGAGAAACATGCTTTATATTCCAGGCTTTGGGGTTCTTAGAAACCCTAAATCCTAAGCCCTAAGGAAAAGCTTCGGGGGTTGTAAATACACCACACCCCCAGAGGGGCCAAATACCCAAATAGTATGGTTTTAGATCCCAAATTCCATACTCTGAATGGTTTTTGGTCCTTGAAACCCTACTATTTGGGTACTTGGACCCCTTTGGGACCTCTATGACGGTTCGATTTGGGCAGCCTCTCGACTGTCGCATGCGTAGGGCTTCGGTTATGATATGTGCAGCAGGGTGCAACATAACGGCCGACCCACCCCGAAGCTTCTTACAAGTAGCCCTAGGGTTTAGGGCTTAGGGAAACTTCGTACCCAGATGCCTCAAACTCTGAAACTCTAAGTCTTACCTGTCCAGCTGCTTTGGGTACCAAAAGTTAACCTGTCGGGTTCTGAAGCGGTTGGCTCCCTTTCTATTATTTGGAATAATACTGTGGAGGGACAATATCCTGCACGACCCAATATAAGGTATATACCATAATTCCCATAGTCCAGGGTCCTTAAGGTCATGCAGGATTCTGTCCATCAACAGTATGACAGACCCCCAGGCCGGAGTCTAGTGAATCGTCCTAGATCTCTAAACAAAAAGGGAAAAGGAGGGACCCTTGGGCTATATAATGGGTATATCAAGGGTATATACCTAGGGGTCCTTCTTAAGGGTCCCTCCTTTTTACCCATGGATAAACCTTCGCCCTGAAAGCCTGAAGCCCTGGACCCTGAAATCCGAAACCTTAGTTCGCATGCCTTGCGGACCCCGCCGGATCTTCAAAACCAAGTCTAGACCCCAAACTGGGTTCTTGTGAAGGAATTTAGTTTAAGCTACCAGAATTGGGGAGCTACCGGAAAAATAGTATGGTAACTTGAACTAAGCTCCTTAACGAGACTAGTATTCGGATCCTTCCGAAATTGAACTAAACCCTAAACCCTAAACCGTTCCGAACTAAACTGAGCACCGGGACGATGGATTCCCGAGTGACGCCGGTAACGTCACCCACGACAAAAGGACGCTCTGCGGCTCCTTCCTGTTGTCAAAACTATGGTGCCTTTAAAGGGCTCTATAAGGGTTACTATAAGGGATACTATAAGGGATACCATAAGGGGTACTATAAGGGTATCTACTATAAAATGGGTAGTTGTCAAAATTATGGTCCCTTTTTGGGTCCCTAAGGTAAAAGCCAGAAAGTTGGAATATGATTATCCTAAACCCTTTATGGTAAATTATAGGGTATCCTACCCTGAAACCATCTTCCAACTTTCTGGAGTTCCCTTTATTATAATACGGCACCTAATATGTAGGGTACCCAAAAAGGGACCATAATTTTGACAACTAACCACAAGGAGTTGTGCGGCTTCAAGGCCATGAGGCTTCAGAGCTCAGGTCTTAGAGTTT